CTGAGCCTTACAGTGCACCCCTTTGCAATGTGTTCTCATCCAGCTGGTGCCCTTTTCTTGCAGCAGAAAAGAATGGTCCTTTGCAATATGAGTTAATTTAGAGTATTCCTTGAGTTCACATGGAACTAGATTTATTGCCTGTTGCTGTATGTTTTTTGTATTGATGTTTTTTGCCTTAGCAATTGCTGTTCTTTGCTTTATCTTTGTTTAATATGGAGTTAAAGGGCATGAACTTGAAACTGGGAATAAATGTGCATCTGACATCCGGCTTGCTGCTATTTATCCTTCTTATTTCTATGTGTAACAGACAAACTGTTTTGCAAATTCTTTTGCTTATAATTGGCCATTGCATATAAGTTTGAGTGAGCAATTGAGAAGCTGGCTTGAGAAATATAATTTGTAATATTCCCCTTTGAATCCATTATATACTTATTACATCCAATTTATCTTATACTAAGAAACTTGTTGTTGTTGTTGTTGTGATGAAGATGTAAAAGAAGAAAGGTCCTAATTCTGAAATATATCACCCAAGTTTCAAGAGTCCTATTTTTTCTTCAGTATGTAGCTTACCGTAAGTGAAGCATTTATAAATTTTTCTCTGACTAAGCTGTTTTAGAGATCTTGGGGGCATGCAGAGATACTTGATCTATACTTTCAGTCAGTTAGATAGTAGATACATGCTAATGTTCTTATCAAATATCAGTCTTGAATTAAATTACAGTCACTCTTGTTTAGAATTCAATGCCTAAAGGACTGATTATGGCGGTATTGGAGTTTGATGTTTGCCTGTCACTGTGTTATTTGGCTTTATTGCAACCTTGCAAAATTTTCATAAAAATTTAGCAACTAAAAATTAAATTAACTCTTCTTTATTAATATAACAAACACTAAAGGGGAGTGGAATTAAAATATACGTTATTATTTTGATCTACTCACTACCTCTGGCTCACTATCTACTATCCACTGAGAGTTTGCAGGGATGTTTAATCACTTCCATCAAGATACAAAAACTTCCAGTTTCTCCCTGAGCTGACTCACTTTTGACCTGGTTACCTTCACTTTATTTCCAAAATAGTAGATGCTAATGCATATAACTCTATACACTTTCAGACTAAGCGAGCTCCCTTAGGATGAAGGAACAGGACTGCATACCCTAGCAATGCTATCACTGAAATAGACATACTTGTTTCCAACACATCCTAAATAAAAAATACCTGGTATTACACTGAAAGCACTTAATTTTCATTTTTAAACTAACATACTGGTAATTTATACCCTTTAAATGTTATATCTCAAGCTTTAAACAGGCAAATAATTTTCTACTTTCTGTTTTCCACCAATAGATGGCAGGTGAAGCTCTAGAAAATTATTCACTTGATACAGCATGAGATAACATATAATTTGAAAGTACACAGCTGACTGTAAATTACTGCTCTCTGATACCTCTTTAGATGTGATCATGACTTAGTCCTAGCCCATCCACCTTGCATTACAAACCCTAGTCTAATTTTAGGAATAGCTCCATGTTGTATGTTTTACTCTTATTTCTTTTGTCCCACCCCAATAGGTCAAATTGAAGTTTGTGCACACCGATTTCTCTCTTGGTCAAGAAGGTACTGTCAGTGTGGTGCAGCAGCTGTTACATTTATTCAGTGTCTTGAGACTGAGCTTTCTGTAACTAAACAAGAAAAACTCTGCAGTCATACACATGTCAGAAATCACACAGATTGTAAGCTGCAATGGAATAGCTTAAAGCTCAGTGATTTCCAGTTCCAGAAAAGCTAGAAACACAAGGAGGGAGCACAGGAGGAGAAAGAGCCTATTACACTGACAAAACTTATTCTAATACACCTCATTAAGGATGCTCCTAATGTGTTAAAATAATTCTTCATACATGATGCTGCATTTTTAAAAATCCATTTGCTTTTTTTGAAACACAAAAGCAGGAGGCATTGAGTCTTGTTCACATACACGCTAAAAGGACAGAGTGCTAAAAGTCACATTAGAGTGGCAAAAAAAGATGAAGACTGATGTTATAATTGTTTTACGGACAATAAGTAATATGTTGTAGTCAATTAACTGTAGGATCTAATTGAAAAATGAATAGAAGTGTGCAAAAACCACAGGGGTTTAGGACTGCAAAGCACAAAAGGATACCTTTCCCTCTAGGCAATCTGCATTAGTAAACATCCATTATTTTTCCTGCAAAATGATTTCCTGAAATCACTCTGCCTCATAATTGCCCTGCTGTTACTGGCAGTCTAAGTATTGATGACTAAGTGACCATTAGAGCTCAGCTGGTTCTTGTATATATCACAATACCTCCTCCAGGCTGACTGAGTAGACAAATTTGATTACTCTCATCCCTGCATTTCAGCCTTGATGATTTCTATTAATTCACTCTTTTCAGTAATCCTTACATTTTTATAAGTTAATTTGGTTTTCTGAGATCCACTTCTAAGTATAATTCCACTTAGAAGCATATATTCCACTGTGTTTGGCATCTTCCACTGTTTTGCTGGCAACAGCAGCAAAACATGGATAAAACACAAGGTCATTAGGAAGCATCAATGGTTAGATACTGAACAACGAAGATGATGCAGCTCACTCAGTGACTATTAATCACTCTTTACCAATAATGTTACAGAAAAGAAGGGAGGATATCTAAAGCTGCTTCAAATGAACAGCCCTCCAGTGAACTGAGAAAGTTTGGCAGCACACATCATAACGAAAACAAATTACAAAACCTAATTTTGGATGAACAATTTAGGTGCCTATGTCTTTCTAGTCCAGACAACAGACAAGAGAGCTGTTTGAATAACCCTCTGCATAAAAACCTTGGCTACACAGGAATCTGAACTTCCACCTCTATCACCTCAGGCAAATACCCCAAATCAGACAACATGAATGACCCCTTCAGATACTGTACCTGTCATTGAATGTGAAAAAAATGTGTGCAATTAACAAAAAAATTCCCAAGGGCCAGGTCACAGCATGCAAAACCAGCACATGACCACAGACTTGACAGTAACACGATGCTAAGCTGTACATTACCTTGACCCTCAAATAACAGACAGCACATTCTATCACAACAGAACTATTAAATAATCAGACTGTCTCAAAGCTACACATTTGCCCTTAGCTTGTCTTTGCTTGGAGGCTCTCTCCCTGAAGAGTAAACTTTTATTCTAAACTCAACTGAGAGCAGCCTGTAGTCAGTGAAACTGCAGAGAAAGGTCTGTAAACAATACCTGCTCTGTAGAGAACAAGCTGACCTTTATAGATGTTAAACAAAACAAAAAGGGTTGATTGATGCTGGGCAGTACTTCTCTCCAAAATATTAAAACCAAGAAAGTCAATCAAAGGTTAGTTCATGGACATACAGTGTGATAAATTATAGTTGGTGGGTGGTGGGAAGGGGAAAGCATGATTTGGTAAAATATTTAGGGTAAAAAGCCTGTATACTCAGCTGGAAAAGGAAAAAAGTGTGTAATGCTGACTTCTGTTAAATGGAAAAAAAAACCCCAAAAACAAACCTATGTTATCTAGAGCAGGTCAGTTGCTGAAGTCTTTATGACTAATTTTAAAAGTTCTTATTAACACAGTAAGACATCGTATGTTTTTTAGAATAAGAAATCAATTTCTAAATTCCAACAGATAATTACAATTTAGCCACGAATATGCTACTAATATAGAAAAGGACAATCTAACCTAGATAGAATAATGGAATCACTTGTGTTGGAAAAGGCCCTCCAGATGATCAAGTCCAACCACCACCTAGTAGTGTCAATTCCCCCCCTTAAACCATGTCCCTCAGGACAACATCTACAAGTCTTTTAAATACCTCCAGGGCTGTTGATTCAGCCACTTCCCTGGGCAGCCTATGCCAATGCTTTATAAACCTTCCAGTGAACAAACTGTTACTAATATGCAATTTAAGGCTGTTTCTTCTTGTCCTGTCACTTCTGACTTGGGAAGAGACCAATACCTATCTTGCTACAACCTCCTTCCTGGTAGTTTTGGTTTCAGTCTGCCTGTGTCTTGTGGATCCCCAAAGCTCTCATCCAGTGGTAACAGGACACAAGCAGTTATTTACAGACAGCTACAATACAATCTCAGAAACAAAAGGCACAGCCCCACAGCACCTTTCCAATACCGTAAACTAACCATGCAGTGAAAGCAATGCCCAGGACAGAATTACCTTAATACAAAAACATTTATGCCCAAAATGTAATGCTGTCCTTGTCACACTTTTTATATGCTTTACCATGGTTTCTAGAAGACAGCAGAAATGCCTTTAGACAGTAGAGAAGCTATCTGGCTTTAGAGTATTTTGAAATGCAGGATTACTTGGAGGAAGTTAAGGATCGTGTTATGATTATGCAAGAAATCTGCTGAGAATCTGAGATGAAAGAGTTGAGATCACCGAAGTCAAGTGGTATTTAGATTTCAGACCAGCAACTCTACCTGTTTTTTAAGCAAAAATATAAATAATGTAGCTCCAAAAAAAAAGTTAATAATCAACACATTTTAGGCAATTTTGTCTAAAGTGAGGAAGAGAACTCTGCTAATGAAACATGAAAGTGCAGGTACATGTCTTGGGACTGGCTGTTAGGTAAGCTCTGAACAAAATTGTGGCAAAAAGAAGTGACTTTTCAGACAACTCCCAAAAGCAAAGTTACGATTGCATTAGGAATCTGTGTTAAAGGGACAAAGAAGCTTGTGAAAAAAGTGCAGCAATGTGTAAAGATAGGAGAGAGAAATAAGTAGTTATCCAACAACAAATGCATTCAGAAGATCAGCCATAAGACTTGTTGATGTGGACTGATCTTCAGAAATTCTGAGCTGAGTTTGATAGAGGCTCAGGATCACTGAATATCAAGTAAACTTACTTTACTCCTGTGCACTCTGTAACACACTGCATAGATCTCATTCATTTTAGCTGCAAACAAATGACTGAAAACTTCTACATTTCCTGGTTACAAACTAAAATTATTTACCATTGGTGTGGCCTCTGTGAAATCCATCAGGAGGTCACCTGGCTCCAAAGCAAATGTACTCCCAGCATCTGTGGAACTCTAAAGGCAAAAAAGAAACCCAGCATTGGAAGAAAGAACCATTTAATTTCTGTAATTTTGTTGGTTATTTTTGTTGGGGTTTTTTTAATTCCTTAAAGCACAGATTGCCAAATGGATTTTAAATTTCACACCATGTTTTTCAGGTATGGCTACTCAGGAAAGTTAAAAAACATAATTACAGACCTTTAAAATCCATGTGAGTAATCATGATCCACTGCCCACTAATGATGAGGAAAAACTGCTATGGATTTTATCTGGGTCTTGGACCAGACTCTAAATACTTCCTCACGCAACAAGTTAAACATATCACTACAACTCTGCATTAAAAACTGCTCTTAAATGTAGAATTATTCCATCTAGGGAAAACCGTTTACTCACAGCTCCCTCCTACCCTTCCTGAGCCCTCTCCCAGGGGACGAAAGCTCATCTCTTTGTGTGTTACCTTGCCACCAGGTGAAACCTGTGCTTGTCCTTCCGATGTTTGTGGCGTACACGTTTTCTGCGACCCGGGAGATGCTGAAGACACAGGTGTTGATGCTGCTGCTGCTGCTGCCAGTGCTGGAGGAAGGTCATCCTCATCACTGCCATTGATAAAAACACAGAGATTTTCTCATTAGAAAATGCCATTGGACTTTTGACTGCACTTGTGTCCAGGGAGGCACTGGTAACCTAGATATCTGCTGTAGTGCTTTGAAGCTCCATTTACTCTTCCCTCTGAAATGCAGCTACCTTTTCAAGTAAACTAGAATTTTTTTTTTAAGCTTTAAAGATTCCTTAAAAATGGGTTGGCTAGGTACTTCTCATCTGCAAATGGAAATCCTATGGTTATTAGGTAAAAGTAGCATTTCTATGGATTATGCATGAATGAACAGACTAGATATTATTCCACTTTAATGTTTATTCTTTTCGATGGAGGCTGGCAGTATTGATAAGAACAGATACAGTGACATCCATCCATGCATCTGACTGCTTCATTGACTTCAGACAATGGTAGATTTGACACCCATTATGGAGCTAGTCTATGCTGTCATTTTCAAACTGTATGTAAAGGAATTTGATTGACTCCAAAAAGGATCTCTTTAAAAACATTCTTGTGATCTTTTTCCTGTCGCATCTATTGTATTTACAGAGAAAACATTTTATTTAAGATGAGGTTGCACGCTTCCCCTGGGGTTTAGGCCGTCAAGCTGAACTCTTTCCATCTCACCTACTGTCACTAGTAAATGAAAGCCAGTGAAGAATGGTACACCTTCATTTACTTTTACAGAACCCCATTGACTACAGATCGCTGCAATCAGTCAGCCCTGAGTCAGGATGCTTCCAGTTGTTAATTGCAATTGGATGGAGGCAAACAGAGTCATAATTTGGCCTATGGAAGACTTATTACTGGGAATGATGTGTCAAAAGGAAAGACTACAGATTGACAGCTTAATGCACAGCAAAAATAATGAGAAAAATTACTGCTGCTCATAAAACAGCACTAATTTTAACTACCAGTTAGGTACTCACAGTGCATAGAAGCCTGCCATGCCAGCTTGACTGCATGATTCTGCCTTGACAGATACTTCCAGAACAGAACTACGCTTGATTTAGTGCCACTTGAAGGCAGCATGCCTGGACAACACAAAAAACTTCAAAACTACATGATATACCGGTTACACAACCTTATGCTGGGTTGCCTAACAGTGTTTTTTAATTATAATGTAAAATTTTGGTGTTTAATATAATTTTTTCAAACTTCATTTTTTATTCCTTCTGGTTAAGGATAGAATTCAGCACCATAGCATGCACAGTACACATGTTTTATGCTAGAAAGAAATTCTGAAATCTTTTGGACTTGTTGAATAGACATTTTATTAATGTAATAAGCCCAGAGCTGGGCTGTTGACCTAGCTAATCTCTCTTTCAGAAGCATGTAGATGACATTTTCCCAGTCCTTCCTCTCCACTCTCAGCAGGAATTCACTGGCACCCTCCCCATCTTTTCTGAGTAAAGTTCCTCTCGTGTATACTAGGAAGTGGAAAAATAAGAGTTAGGGTTGATTTATCAGCCATCAAGCCACCAACACACTAGATGTAAGACTGAGAAATGGCCTTCACTGTATTACTTTCACAATGATCCTTTAGTGTTTCTTCACATTTCCCATATTTGCATTAAAGATACAAGATAATTTAAATTGAACACAATTTGAGTTTACAAAAAGAAAAAAACCAAAATTACAGCCCATTTTTTTCACTAGGGAGTCTTTGGCCCTACACATGGCCACAGCATAGGTGACACCTGTGGTTAGATATGTACATCTGCTGCTCCTCACACTTTATACTGGACAACTGAAAATCCATATGGGAGCAGGACATGTTCAAAACTGTTCATCAAAACCTCATCAATCAAAAAGTGATTGTGTGTTTCCACATGCCAGTCTTGGCCTCTTGGACAAATACCAATTTGGCTAATAGCTCATTTGCCTTCTAGCTTAAATTTGTCAAAGTTCTTCTGTTCTTGTACTAAATAATTTTTCAGTTTTGGTAATGCAGATCATTACAAAGACAATGTTTTTAACAGTGAAACAAAAAAAACCCCAACATACTGATATTTATTAGAACCCTTTTGAAGAGACAAAAAATATATTTACTGACACTAGAATGTTGGAATCCTGGATGGATTAACAGTTGCTATTCCACACAGAAAGCATACATATTTTTCCTTTATTATGGCATTGGTATTCTTGTACTGATAAGTTTATGCTGACATTATCGCTTTTTCCCCTAATTTCTGGGGCTAAGTTTATGCTGACATTATCGCTTTTCCCCCTGATTTCTGGTGGCTTTTTCTGTCTTTTCATGGGAGGACAAATCAACACTGACTTTCACTTCTGCTCAGTACCTCACATCTCTAGAGAGTTTCAAGTGGAATGAATTATGTGTAAATGGGATGCCAAATCCCTGTAGGCACAGATCCCACTTTCCAGGAGTAAGAGAATTTGTTTTGCTGGCTTTAGCTGTAGCAGGCTCAGCCACTTCTTCATGTGACAAATCACAGAGAGGGAGGGTGTGCTCTCTGAGAGGGAATGGCTCACAGCACAGCTTGATGCCCCAACAACTAAAGAATGTTTTCCTCATTTTGCAAATGGGGTTGTAATGAAGCCAACAGAGCGGCTTGCTCCAGCACACACCAGGTCTTTGACATTTCATGTGGTAAAGAGGTTTTTAATTCCTAACCCAGACGCTTGGGAAAAGGTGGATGGCCTGCAATTCAAAGGGTTAGCCACTGGATAGGAAAGGCAAATTCATTTTGTATTAAAAGCATGAAGATTCTCAGTGATGAAAGGAATGGTATCGGTATAAGATCATTATCATGTAATTGCACTGATGCCTTTCAGAAGGCACAGCTAGAGCAATAATTAGCATCCCCTTTCATTTTCAGCTGTAGTAGGCAAAACCACAAAGAGAATGCTGTATGTTACTCACAAACTGTACTGCCTTGTTAACTTCCTCACGCGGGGAGCTTTAACCTCCTGCTTTTCTGTAGGGACAGTTGTTGGTGTAGTTTCAGGTCTCACGGGAGCTGGACTTCTAAAAATAGCAAGAAAAAACATATGTCATACAGGCTCTATTTAAACTACTCCAGGCATATCACCAGAGTTCTAACTCATCAACACTTATTTATCTTGCAAAGTGTCAAGTGCCCATTGAAGTTCATCCTTTTGTTCCATTTATAGTTCATAGGCTAGTATGTGTGTGTGTACAGAAAAAGATGTGTGAACTCACCCTCCTGTGCTGGGCATACCATTTATAGAAGCAGCCACTGGTTGCAAACACAGAGCCTATGTGAAAGACCATGTGGAAATGTCACTGTTTCCAAAATACTGCAATTTAATAACAGACCAGCAGTTCAGTCCTGTCAGAAATATTTTTACAAAACATATGTTTAACTAAAACTTAACTAAAACTATTTTATGAATTATGAAACCTGCTCTGCTTAAAATATTTTTTATTTGAAATTAAATATTATCCTTCCGCAATTGAAAGAGCAGTTCAAGGGAAATTAACTAAGGGATGTGGTCCAAGAAAAATGATCAAATTTTTTCCAACTTGCTAGAAAAATGCAAAACTCAGACATGTTTCAGATACTCATTAATGTGAAATACATCTGCAGAGCTCCAGCAAAGATATGGCAATGAGGAGGTCCACATGAAAGAATCTTCTCCTTAACCATTTATCAGTAGAATTAACTGAGGCTTCAATAAAAAATTCATAAATACTAAACAAAAGATCCTTATGACCTTGGGAGGAAACCATTTCAACCATGAGTTTGAGGGGAATGAAGACAAATATTTTAAATATTACTTTAAATATTGCTTATATGTGCACTATAAACATAATAAATATGCCAAACATTAAAAAAATATAATTTGAAAGTCCTGATTAAAAATTTGTGAAATGGTATTCAGCCATCTAATCTGAAGTCAGATTCTAAATTAGTAACTTGAGCAGCCCTACTAATTGCTGATGGGACTGCACATGCACTGAGGTACATTTCACAAATAACAAAAGTTTTTCTAGTCTACTTACATTGTATTAGCCTTCTAAAGCCTTAATAAGGTAAGCATGTTTAATTTTCATAATTGCAGATCCTTTTGATGCCCATGTGTGTTTTGAGCTTTGTTGATTCTCTTTGATGACTTCTGAACCTGATGTCAAACTACAACAGAACCTACTGAGATGGTACAGCCTTCAGGTTATATATTCAGTTTTCCTAAATGTTTCTTAGTTTTTGGATAGGTCACAGAGAATAAGATGGAACAGTGAAAAGCATTAAAGTACAAAGGGCATAAATAAATAATAAACCTGATTACTAGTTTCACTTCTCATAAAACAACTTTTGTCAATTATTTACCTGCTATTTGTTCCCATTAATTTCAAGTAGTATAGATAGCAGCAAGATATCTATATCAGATATATTTCCTTTCCCCAGTTCAAATTTCAATATCAGTCATTTTTATCACAGATTTCTCAATGACATTAATGCAGAACAAATCAGCCAGATCTGAAGATCTTTTGCTGAATTTGTTAGGCTGGCAAATAAGGGGAAGATAAGTAAAGACACATTAAAAAAGCCCAAATCATCTGTTTTAGTCTTTAGGTCAATATATCCAACCTGAAAATCTGTGAATCAGCATCATCATGGAAGATCCCAAGATTGTTTTGATCAAGCCAGACTTCAGGTTGGAAGACAATACTAGCTCTTCATTTGCTGAAGCAAAGGAAGCTTTTTGCTACTGAAAAAAATTACTTGTTCAATTTACCCAAATTGATTTCCATCTGAAGTCTGACATAAGCAGGATAAATATGTCAAGACACATTAAACAATGGACAATCAAATTCTGAAGGGGTGTAAATGAATGTAATTATTTTCAGCTCAAATATATTAGCTGACATTCTTGCTCTGTATGAATGCTCCTCACAACATTCCAATAATTTTGTAAGAGGGTGCCTTACAAGTTTTACACCTTTTCACCAACTCAGTGAGAGTGGAAACAGAGTGGTACAAACTACATGAGTTGAATAACATTTATTCAAAATTATAACAAGTGATGAATTAATGCTATGAAGGGGTTCAAGAAAAAGCAAAGTGTAGAATAGGAAACCTGGTTACAAATCTATTTCCATTTCATGGGTGCTTCAAATTTCTTGGGACAACATTATAACCTGTGATGTAAGCCAGCCAGATACTTTCACACAAAGGAAGATTTGAAGTGATAATTTCAGCTCTTTTACTATGTTTCATTTTACAAAGCCTGCATATCTCCTTTGGAATACCATGGTTTGTAATGTAAAGAAAGCAAAAGAGGAAAAGGTGGGGCTTTTGAAGCAGTCATTTCAACTGTCAAAATCAAATTTTTGTTGGAAAGATATAGTGGAATTTTGTAACTAAAGCAGTTTACAATGATTTCAAAGCAAGTTATAAAACTCACTTATACATATTAAAAATTTTAAAATTCTAAGTCTGAATTAATGCTGAAAAAAATGTTTAACAAGAAAAAATTCACTCAACTGTAAATAAAATTTTTGAGATACAAACGGTACCAACTCTCTAATCCAATAAAAACATGAAAAACTTATTTTCCTTTGAATGCTGCAGATTTTCAAGTAAAAAAAAAAATCAAGTAAACATTAGACACACCTACTCCTTTTTCAGCCATTGTAATTGCTCAGATAAACTTATGTTTTGTATCACACCAGTAAAGTATTCCACTCATTTATGTTGCAAAATCAATACCATTTTAAAAGCAAAATCTTCTTTCACATTATGATAAAATTTTGCCATAATTTTTGTTAGGGGCTGGCAGCAGCAACTACCTTTCCCCTGATACTTATCAGGCCTCTGGGGGAGAGACAAGCACCATTTATTGCACATTTTGAGAAGCTGCAGGTTAGCTAGGATGTAAACTGAAGTTACCCCTAAATGAAAAGGAGCTGTGGCAATACCTCTACCTAAAGAGGTCATTAGCACAAGATTAAATGTTGGACTAGTCCTACAAACTGCAGAGCTGGAATTTTGCCCTCATTAAAACCTTGCTAGGATACCTCTTTCCACACCAGACTAAAGACTCCACGACAGCTTCTCTTTCATCTCCAAACATTCTTCCTCAGTCTGAACTTGCTCAAAACTGTTGCTACTCTCTCAACAGCAGCTAGATGCAAGAAGTGCTCAGCTTGATCCACCCAGCACCTGATTTGTGTTTTAAAAATAGCAGGCTTTTAATATCACAGAAACTCTTAAAAAAAAAAAATCTCATTGATATTCCAGAAAAAGTAGCAGAATCACTTCTGTGACTGTCATTTGATTTCTACAGCCAGAATTCTTATATGGAAAGATAGGATTTTCGAAGAGAAGCCCTGTAAAATTATTCAAATAGAGTGATTATGTGCAGATATTACCATTTCAAGTTTGTAGTCCTATATAAATTACACAGCTATATAAACTACTGTAGTCCTGTACAAAGCATACAGCTTGAGGAAAAGTGTTAAAGGATCAGTGGGACTCAGAATTAAAATGGAAAAGAAAATGTACAGTGTATTACACTTCTTTTAGAAGGCTCTTTTCCAATGTCATTAATGCATAAGAAACCTTTTTCCTGTAACAGTACCCAACCACTACTGCATACAAATGAAGGTACTGAACCGAGACAGAGTTACTTAATGACCTGGCACCTTACATAAAAATCTGTCGCTTCCTGGTGAGAATGACAATAACAACCACGAAATGTCAGCATGCAGTGGCAGGTCATCAGAAACCGCCTGTGCACTGGGAGCCCCAGCACCCTCCTGAGCCACAGCCAGCACAGTTCTCCTGAACTAGCTTCAGCCTGTTCCACAAGCCTGCACAGCAACACAAATAGGACCCAGAGGGAGATCGCCCCCACCAAACCCAAGGAATCTGTTTTGTTCTCAGACTGGCAGCCAAGAAGGTGACTGAAACCAAAACTGCTCACAAGAAAACGTACCCTGTGGAACATTTCAAGTGACCACAGATGTATGCTGGTTTACCTTGAACCTTCCTTGCTGAGGGACTCAGGGTGTCCCACCTCACCTTGGCTCAGATTGCAGGGCTGAGGCTACACTGCTCCTGCACCACCCATTTGTGTGCTGTGGCTTCCTTGTCCCCTGCTTGGGTGGCTCTGGGCAGACCTCTGTGCTTGTTTGAAATGAGGCAGTCGGGCTATGTGGGATAAAATGATTGTCCACATCATCAACTGAACAGCATTAATTAACTTATTTTACCTTGGAGGATCCAGTTCAGGATTTCAAAACTAACAAAGTCTGCTAGGGGAACACACTTCCTTACACTTGTCTTTAACAGGCTTTATCTTCTTTGTTTCTCTTTGTGTCTGTTTTGTCATCTGGAACAATCCCTCTCCCTGTCTTCCAAAACTGATGCCAAGAGATAGAGGATAAAATCCCTATGATTACAAGGATACAGCCAGCTGCATGAAAGCTGACCTGCTTTCAGGTGCTGACTCATGGAAAAGGGAAAAAAAAAGAGCCCCAGAGGCTGATTTTGGCTGCAGAATTCCCTTTGAATGGGAACAGGATAGTGAAAACTTGGGAAGGATAGGCAAGAAAGAAAGGAAGGAAAAGAAAGAATATTTGATAGATACATTCTCTTGTATATCAAAGACATAGCCTAACAAGCTAAGCAAACAAACACTCAAATCTTTCCTAAGCCTGTGCTCTAAGGATTTCACACATTTCTCTTCCAAAGGTCATCTGAAGTTAAGAAACATTATGTTCTTTTTCACTTTGATAAGGTAGCTTTTCTCAGAAGACAGGTTACCTCTTCAAAACACTGCTTGGACATTTTAAAGCTACTGTCCATATCAAATTTTCTGAATAAAGTTTTTTTCTTTTTTCTTACCTCCCATTCCCCCTTCCTTATAGATTGCAGATGTATAACCAAGATCCTTGCTACAGCTTATGTGCCTTTCTTACAAATTGAGTTCTGTTTCTTGTAAAGGAAAAAATTCCACCCCCTCTATTGCCCTTACAATAAAATATATGCAGTCTAGACA